TTTCTTCTCTCTTTGGTCTTCTTTTCTCTCCCTCTCTCTCTCTCTCTCCTCCATTGAAACCCCACAACACCGAACTCACCCTCTCGTCCACATTCCCACCACCCACCATGAACGAGACATTCACAAAACACATCCACGTCGCAGACAAGGAAGGAAATTAAACGGAACTAACGGCAGCCATGTTTTCTTTTCTCCTTACTTCGTTCTCACTCCTCTCCTCACTCAGAATACCAACTTGATAGGATTTTCCCTAGAGGCTCATCCATTGACGACCAATACCCAACAAAGACGATGATCCTGTCGTAGTAGCTTCAGTGTGACATTGCCTTCGATTATAAAAGGAAATCTAACTTAGTTCACATTGCCTTCTATTTTCCTCACATTCATACAAACTTCATTCACATTTTTTTTCAAAAAAAAAAAAAATCTTTCTAAACAAATAGAAAATTGAGGAAAACCAGAAAAAATTGCCAAAAAGAAAAGAAAAGAAAAGAACAGAAAAGAAAATCAGAAAAAGTAAATGGAGGAGTCACTTTTACAAACAAATCTTTCATAAGGGAGAAGTGTATTGAAGGCAAACTAAGAAGATAACGTTGGAGGGTGTATATTGCAGGATGGTGGGGCTTCGGCTCGCCGCTGTTGCTAGATATATACTCCGCCAGCAAGAAGATTGACGTCGATGGGATCTAGGAAATACAAAATTGACGTCGTTTGTTAATCTCGGCCGGCGTCTCTGTCTCTCCATTCTTCTATTTTTTTCCTGCGGTCGTCAAATGGAGATTTTGGGGCAAAAGCTTGAGTCTGTTTGCCTCTGTTATTATGTGAGAAAACAAAAGCGTCTTTTCGTCCAACACTCAACTTATCTCTCTCCGTGATGTGGTAGCTTCTAACCCATTGGATCTGTTTTGGATCTGTTTTCGCCACGTGTTACCATCCTCTTCACGTGTTACCATCATTCGAGCCATTCGCGGCAGACCTCATTCGAGGTCTGTAGCGGAACTGTTTGTAATTTACTTCCAAAAAAAAGAGCATTTGCGTGGAGGCACGGTGATGAAAGATAAATAATTGATTGTTGAAATGATTTGAAAAGATGTAAGGAGGAGAATACAATAATGAAGGAGAGTAAAGGTTCAAATGTTGTGCATGTGAAAACGTTTTAGTAGATGTTGTAATAATTTGTGATTTTTTCATATATTTTTTTAGTTAAATCATTTTTCATATGATAAAGAACGAAAGTGTTTTTTTTTTTTTTTTTTTTTAAAGAGCCAAAGTATTCATTAGATGCAAAAGTTTAACTTTACGCTATTACCATCAAAAAATATTAGGGTCTTTAGAATTTGAATTAAAAAAAAAGAATTTCATAGTCTAATGTTTTTTATATTTTAAAAATCAAAATTAGAAAATAGTCGGGCATATGATAGTGGTGAAACTGTAATTTATCTTAATGAAACTTCGCGAGGAAGGCTTAGACCAGTTCGTAGCTCCTTCCCTCGTTCGTTCGCTCTCTCTCTCTCTCTCTCTCCTCTTGCTGACATCAGCGGTCCCACAAATGGAAGGTGACAGCACATTATTGGTTTCCTAGGTTCGGACACTTCATCCTTCCAGCTTCGCTCTCATCCTTCTGTAAAATCTCCAAAATACCCCTACATTTTCCACAACATTAGGATTCTTTTGGGTAGAGTATGTGCTGCGTGGATCGGTGTGTAAGTAATATGAAAATCGAATGGCAGGTCACGAATTAATAAAATTGTCATTTTTTTTTATATCAAAAATCGACAGATCAATTGGTAAATAATGTTAGCTTTGAATTGACAATTTGAGTGGATTGGTGATTTATAAAGAATATAATTTAAATTAAAGATTAAAATAATTTAATTTATAAATTAATTAAAATAGTCAAAATTAAAATAAATGCCCATTTCATCTAATACATTGACAAACAAGTAAGTTAAAAATCTAACAATTCAAACAAATTACACAATAACAATCTAACAAGGCAATAAATACTATAACAAAATAACAATATCCAACATAATTCAAGTACAAAGTTATAAATTTAAAAATATTTACAAAATTGGCAATTTGGTATTATTCTGATACTTGATCCTTGTTTTTATATTGGAATTTGGATCTAAAATATTTATATTGTACAAACAAAATAACTCCAATAAAAATGAAAAATATATAGAAAAGAGAAAGAAAGAGTTGAGATTAGTAGAGAAATAGAGATTGAGGAATGAAAAGAAAGAGCAGGTGGAGAGCTAAGAGAAAGAGAGAGCAAAGAGAGATAGCCACGCACCAAATTAGCAAGCAAAAGATGTGGTGGTGAGTGGAGAAACATCGTCGTTGATCGATAAGGCTAGTGGTGGCGGCCACCAGCAAGACTGGCTATAGTGGCGGCGACAGTGGTGACGACGCCAATCAATCTAATGAATGAGATGTAATGTTGGGTTGTGAATTAGGTTTATTGAGAATTGATTATGGAGTCTTTTAGGAAGAGGGTAAAAAAGCAACTTTTAGCTTTTTACCCATTTTAGGTCACATCATCTCTCACATTTTTTACTCCTAAAAAGATTTGGGTCCGTTTGGGAAGATGGTTTGTAGCTAAAATAGTCACAAAAAACAAAACATCACATCAAATCTATAATCATTACACTCTTCTCTCACAAAAAAAATAAAAAAAGCTAAAAAGTCCTTCCCATGACCAGCTTTTTAGCCCAGGTTAAAATAACAAAAAAAATCAAAAAGTCAACCCACTTCTCAAACTAACCCAAAAGAGACTAAAAAAGCAAAAAAAAAAATTTAACTTTTTACCAATTTCCTAAAACACTTTTATGTGTGTATGTGTTGGGTCGGGTCGATTAGAATTAGTGGTTTGGCTTGCTCAACCCACCACTTGCGTTGACTCGCCAAAGACTGGACCCCCACCTGCCCAACACGCCCTTCCAGGACTAAAAAAATGCGCTGCTCGAACGATTTTGACAGTTTTGGTGATATTTTGTACACATCTAGTTTTGCGTATGACTTATAATCTAATTTTTTTTTTGTTTATTATGAAAAGATGTACAGAAAAGTAAAGCGATGATATGATTCAAATAAACCAATAAGTTAATAAATTGATTTTTTTTAATAGTTTGGGAACTTTGCTTATTAGCTAAAACAATCATCTTTTTTTTTTTCTTTATTTTTCTTTTGTCTTTAGTGACTTATTTTTAAAAAAATTATGTCAAAATTTATTTTTATTTTTTTTTGGATTTTTCAGTCTGTCTTGTGTAGACAAATCTATTAAGTAAAAAACTAAAAAAATATTTAAAAAACCAAAATAAGCCCACAAAAAAAAAAAAAAAAACTCTACTATTTTTGTCTTGTTTTTTTTGCCTTTTCAAAGCTTTTTTTTGGATATTTTTATTAAAAAAAATTAATTTTTTTTTATTCGTCTTGTCTCATTGAATCTAGAAACTTTTAAACTTTTTAATTTTTTTTAATTTTTTTTTGTTTTTAAAAAAATGCCTCATTTGAGAATAGGCTATTATAGTAATTTTTTTAGTTTTTTGGTTAAAATATGAGATAAAAAACTAGTATATTTGGAATAACTTTTTAATTTTTTTACAAAAAGATGTGTAAAAAATAGAGAGAAATGAGAATTTTTAATTTTTTGATATTGGTTATAAGGTTTTTGATTTTTTTTTATTAACTTTTTGACTTTTAAACTAGAAGTATTACATGTCAAACGAGACCTCAATAAAAATAAAAATAAATAACAATAACAATAAAAAAATACCAAACCAAACCAAACCAAATCTCAGACACACATTGGGGTGAGCTAAGGCACCTTAATTTCGAATTTTTTTTTTAATTATAGTAACCTTTTTTTTCAAATTATATCAATTTTTTTATTTTTATTTTTTCAATTCATCCTATGTAAACAAATTTAAAAAATTTGAAGAATTCTAAAAAATAAAAAACAAAAATAAAAATCTACTATTTATTTATTTATTTTTATTTTTTCTAAACTAATTTTGGATTTAAAAAAAAAAAAATTTAATTTCCCGATCTGTCTTTATCAAGCTGAATCTAAAAGACCAATTTTTTCTAATTCAAGACGAAAAATAATACAAAGGCACTATTTGACATCTCCTATAAAAGTATCTTTTTTTTTCTTTTTATCTTTTTTATCACATCACCACTCTAATTATAAATTTTATATTTTTAATTAATTCTGTTAAATAAAAAAATCTAATAAAGAGATATTTATAAATTTTTAAACTATAAAAATAATCTTTATTTTAAACAAATTAAAAGAAGTATATTTATAATTTATCCAATTTCTTTCTTTAAGTGGAGGCAAATTTAATTTGTGGGGTTTAGCCCACTAGGATGTGTTTATCTGCTTTACTAACCTTTTTTTCACCCAGTACCTGGCGAAGATGTGGACATATCTGTGGGTATTTTTGAACCTACCTTCATTTCAACTTTGGCCTCGTTTGGGAAGTGGCTATTTTAATAGGCTATTTGATTTTTTGACTATTTTAGTAGGTTATTTTAGTTTTGTGTTTGGAAAGTTGAGTTAAATTTTTAGGTTGATTGTTGTATTGAAAAATGTGTTTGAAATGATGTTTAAATTGAAATTACAAATTTACCCTTCACTTTATTTTTTCACAAAGTTAAGGAATAGGGGTAATAGTGTAATTTACCAAACCTGCAGCCTACACTGTGGGCGGCAGTGTAGGCTGCACTGCTGCAGCAGCCGACTGAAAATCAAATTTTTTTTTTTTTTGAAAATCAAGAAAAAGTTTGCTACAGTTAGCTTTTGGGCTGATTTTCATATTTAGGCTATAATATCCTAAATCTCAAGTTGCCAAACAGCCCCATAATCAGCATATAATGTAAAATAGGGGGCAGAATTGGAAATTAATCCGAAGCAAAGCACGATTACACACTCCACTACACAGACCTACCGGTTCCTTCACCCACGCGGTATATACACAGATTTGAAGCCGCGGCTTCTTCATCCAGCTTCTCTCTCTATATCTATCTCTCTCACTTTCTCCGTTGCTTCCTTCTTCAATTCAAACCCCACGTCTTTGAAACCCCACCGAATTTTCTTTGAATCTCATACATCCTCTCTTTCGATTTGTTTATCCATTCCCTATGCTACCTCTCTAGGTTTTTAATTCTTCATTTCGATCCATACCCACTTTCCCTTTCTTTTCTCTCTCTCTCTCTCTAGCGATGTCTCTCTCTAAAATTTTGGCGGAGGAGTCTCTTCCGGTTGGGTACCGATTTCGCCCTACCGACGAAGAACTCATCAATCACTATCTGAAGTTGAAGATCAACGGCGATGAGAAGCAAGTCAGTGTTATTCGAGAGATCGATGTCTGCAAATGCGAACCCTGGGATTTGCCTGGTAAAACTACCCACATAAAAAATTATAAAGTTAAAATTTTGGGTTTTTTTGCTTTGATTATTGATATGTACTTGATTAAAAGCCCTAATTTTGGGTTTGATTTGATCTATTTTTATGCAGATAAATCGGCGATAAAGACGAATGATGAAGAGTGGTTCTTTTTCTGTCCTAAAGATCGCAAGTATCAGAATGGGCATCGATTGAACAGAGCGACTGTGGCTGGGTACTGGAAGGCCACGGGTAAGGATAGGTCTATCAGGTCTCTGAGGGGAACCACTGTGATTGGCATGAAGAAGACTTTGGTTTTCTATGAGGGTCGTGCGCCGAATGGCCAGAGGACTAATTGGGTAATTCACGAGTACCGCGCAACTAGTGAGGACCTTGATGGCACTAAACCAGGACAGGTTCGACTTCAATTTATACACAATTGTACTAATTTTGATATGCCCTTTATTTATAGATCTGATTTACTTGAATTCGTGTTGGGTTATCAATTTGGTTGTGATGTGATTGATTCTTTCATGTATTGGTTTGTGGGTAATTAATACCCATTTGCTTAAATCATGTTTTACTTTGTATATGTATGAGGAGGTATTGGTTTCAATGAAATGAAGGTGTCATTTCTGTTTCTTTTGAACGTTAGTTTGTAGTTTAACATGGAGATTTATTTTTTTTTTTTTTTTATGTTGTCCAAATTAATTTTGAAATAGGGTCTTTAAAAAATCCTAAAATGCCTTTTATTAAGCTATCTTGGAAAAAATATCGCGATTTCACTGCTTTGGCTTTTAGGAAACATAATGAGCTTGTTCTTGGGGTTACTTACTTGTAGGATATGATGGGATGGGATGGGATGGGATGGAATGGAATGGAAATTTTTTTTAGTGTAATTGATAGTTTGTTTTATGGATTGAATGGTTCTGATTTCTTTGGACTGCATAGTTTGTGCATGATGAGTTTAGTATGGTATATGTTGATGTAGAGCTCTACTATTTATGAATGATAATTATCATGATTACCATTGAAAAATTTCAGCTTTGTGTTTTCTTTTGATTCAACCTGGTGGGATGGTTCAATTTATCAGCAGAGTGTTTCTTGGAGATCCCGAGTTTCTTCACTGACATATTTTGAGTTTTATTCAAATACTGATTCAATTCATTTCAACAATTTTTTTTCCTGCAGGGTTCCTTTGTCCTGTGTAAGTTAATGAAGAAGCATGATGAGAAGCTAAAAGGAAAGCTGGAAGAGATCGCTGAAGCTTCGAACTCTGACGAAATTGAAGAACATGTTTTGTCTCCAGCCACAGTTAAATCAATTGCTGAGGATATGCAATCGGAGCCAGTAACTCCAATGACGAGCTGTCTTCCTGCAATTTCTTACAATACATCTCATGATGCTTCAATACCTATTGATTGGTCCAACGATAGCTGTGGTGATATGCAATCGGAGCCAGTAACTCCAATGACAAGCACCAAAGCTGAAAAGCCACCTTCTAGCAGTGGGAGTTTCCTTCCTGCAATTTCTGACAATACATCTCTTGATGCTCCGCAACCTATTGATTGGTCCAGCAATAGCTATGGTGCTGTTGATGCAGGAGAAAAATCTTTTGTCCAGGTGGGTAGGGAAATTTTACTTCTAGTTTAATTTGTCAATTCTCTTTGTGGAGAGCATGAAATTCAAATAATTTTATTTACTTATTATTTCTTGATTTCTTTAGGAGGATTACGAGCTAGAAGAAATGTTGAGAATATTTCGTGATGATCCAATTGAGGAACGACCAGATGGCAACGGCAAAATCTTCTCCCCGTTGCACGTGCAGATGCAGGTGGAGTTTGGATCTTCATATGAATTTCGGTACCCTGGCGCTAGTGATATGGGTCACAGCCACAACGGGGTGCCATTTCAGTATGGCACAAATAATGCACAGGATATTACTGAGTTCTTGGATTCAGTCCTAGTTTCCTCAGATGAAAGTGAGGGCGCCCCTTCTTATGATAATGTTACGGACAGAGTCTGGAGTGACTCAAATGCACAAGTGGCCCAAGCACAGGTATAATTAAGTCTTTGAGCACCTTACAGGCTTTATGATTTTGCAAGTTCATGACTTCAAGTTGTGATGCTGTGCAACTCAAGTAACATAAATTTTGTAATGTTTTTATGGTGCTTGCATATTAGGAAACAGAAACTTGTGACACAAGTACACAATGGTTTTATATATTTATTGTATTACATATAAATATTTTATTCAAAGATAATGAAAAAATTAAATTTAACACTATTTTCTAGAGTTTAAAAGAGGAGAAATTAACACTACATTGTTTTTCTTTATTATTGGATCCCACGTTATTTTGTTCAAACTTGTGAAGTCTTTCACATGTTTCTACACGATGGACATGTATGCCTAAACAATGTATACCAACCGTCCGAACGAAGATTGGTCTAAAAATTATAAGTTAATAGGACATGTTTGGACTTGTGTCCGACTGTGTCGGGAAGTGTCCAAGAGAGTGTTGGTGTTCAATACATATTCAACACGGGCACCATCTTCTTAGTAGTGTAAGTTCTTAGCTTGCATACTCTTCCATCTGATGTGTTATTTAGATGAATTCTGATAGTAGTAAATTAATCCTAATCTGCTCTTCTGTACCCCAGTTTGTAGCTGATTTTGAAGGCTATGGACAGTTTGGGCAGAATATTGATGAGGATCATCCTGTATCTAGGGCAATGGGTGCAGCAAATTTTGTCAACAGTCTTGAAGAATCAATTAGTAATAGCAATGCTGTTGGCAATGATGATATTTCTGGAACTGGAATCAGAATAAGGTCTCGCCAAGTTCATAATCGGCCCAGTGCTGAGAATTCCGAGGTGCAGGGAACTGCACCAAGAAGAATTCGGTTGCAGAAGAAACTCCAGGTTGAATCATTTTACGGCAGCCATGAAGCAGAACGCGTAGTGGCTAAGGTGAAAAGTTTGTCAGTGAAGCTCATGTTAGGATTGCCATAATGCCTCTGCTGGGTTTGTAAACTCCATTTAATTGTTATTTGCAGGCTGAAGAAGAAGCTAAGGAAGAAAATGCTGCTACTATTGGTGCTGCCGCTAGTTTGAAAGTGACATCAAGAGGCTACAAAGAGGTTTCTCCTGGAGCCTTGAAGAGTCAGGCATTGCGCCGGATTTCATATGTGTTCAAGGCAGTTCTTGTGGTTGTAGGTTTGTCCGTAGCGTCTGTGGGCATATGGAGATGCCTTAACTTTTGAGTGTGTATAATTGGCCCTAGTTTTGGTATGTGATTACGATAAAGCTGGGTCGGGGTTATTTTCATTTTGTTTATGTTTATATTTAATATATACTTTTAACTCTTTACAGCTAGAGATATACTATATGCAGATGCAGTACATTTAACTTCGAAATCATCTCCTGATTTGGGAGTTTTCTTGTCTGTGTGATATAACTGGAATTTTGTTTTTGTATATGTTGTGCTCTCGAAGTCTGAACAGTGTTACTGTTGACGTCGTTGATTTAGAGATAGCTTAGGTCTCGTTCGGAAACATACTCCCTCCGTTCCAAAATAATGGTCCCTTTTGGGGAATCTAACTTTTTTTGATAGTACAATTATTGTACTTTTAAAAAGTTGATTTTCCAAAATTACCCTTTGATAGTACACTTTTTTGAGAATATCAATGTCATAATTGTACTTTTTATATTATTTATGAATTTAAAAGAAGGACAAAATGGGAAATTTATATTATTTTTGTACTTGATTTTTGAAGAGGGACTAATATTTTGGGACAATGAAAAATGGAATAAGGGACTAATATTATGGGACGGAGGGAGTATTATTTTAGTAGCTTTTTGGCTAAAATATAAGATAAAAAAATTAGTATGTATTATTTTAGTAGCTTTTTGGCTAAAATATAAGATAAAAAAATTAGTATGTTTGGAATAATTTTTTAGTTTTTTACAAAAAAAAAGTGTAAAAAGTGCAGAAAAAAAGAGAATTTTTAACTTTTTGATATAGATTATAAATTTTTGTTTTTTTAAGTAACTTTTTGATTTTTTTTTTTTGACTAAAACACTTGCATGTCCTTAATTCCATTTTTGACTGGGTTTTCCTCCTAAAACTGGCTCTAATTTTTCATCAAGTAAAATTTGTTTTGAGGCTAGGTTTGTCTGTTTGAGGGAACACTACAGTGCTTAGTACTTGTGTAGTTTGATTTATTCTGATGTATATAGAACTGTTCTCCAATATAATTTTGAAAATGTTACGGTTTGAAGTAAAATTTTTCAGATACATTTTTTCTTCAGAGTTAATAGTTATTTTTGGAGAAAAATGATATATGTAAGGTCACTTTTCAGATTTATTTTTTAAGTTTAATGTATAAGTGATGTAATTGGTTGATAATTAGAGAAGATGTATTAATATCTTAATTGATTATCACATCTTTGAGTTTGAAAAATGAGTATAATTTTTAATCTTGAATAGTAATATTTATTTTCAGATTAGATCAAGATAAGTGTATTTATTACTTTTACGGCATGTAAAAATTTGCAATTTTAAAGCAGCAAAGAAAATTTGTAAATTTTATTTTAAAGCCAGTGGTAGGAAAAAAAGTGTGTATTTTTTGGGGGGTGTAAATTACAAACACATTTCTTGAGTTTTGTTTAAAATAAAATTGTCTCTTCTTCTTTTAAAAATTACATCTCGTCCTCTAAAGTTTATAATTTTATTACAAATGACCATTTTTATTAATAAATTATCAAATTAATTAATAATTTTTAATAATGTCAAAAATTTATTTTAACTACTAATTAAGATAGTTTTATTATTGTATAGGAGATCGATTAAAAATTTATTTTTCTAGTTAATTATGTTGAATAAAAAAATTTAACAAGAAAGTATTTGTAATTTTTCAAACTATAGGAAGTAATTTGTATTTTAAGCAAATTTGAAGAGGTGCATTTGTAATTTATTATTAGTATTTTTAAATTGAAAAGGAGTTGTGCAAAAAAGAACAAGAAGATGATTGTGGAAATGCCTACATTCCATTTCAAATATATTAACCCCTCAGTATTTAAAGTACGGGGACAATTACAAAAATAAATTTAGGATTTGACTCTCGTAATAAAATAAATTTTTAATTTTATAAAATTAAATTCTAATTTTTTGATTTGTCAAAAAAATAATGTTTTAGTTATTAGTTGGCTACCATGATACTCCTAAGAGCTTATTCCAAAATTTATGTAACTCAAGTTGGAACCATGGTTCCACTATATTAAATTTTTTTTTTTTGAATCAATCAATAATAAATAATTAAAATAAATAAATTTTTAAATATATATATATTTTGTAATTTCTCTTATATTAGACAAATGTGAATTAGGGCACTTCCAACTCTTCACTACTCTATCTTCCATCTAATTTGATTTAAAATTCAAGTAAAAATTTAATTTGAACTATTCCAACATTTTCGTCAAAAATTATTTTAAATTTTTTCTCTTATCCCAAATTTTCCATTTCATCAAATTTGATTCGGAAAAAAAAAAAAATCAATTCCAACATCTATTTTTTCTTTTTAAATTTTTATCAAATTCAAATTTCATAAATATTTAATAGTTTTTGAATTTTCAATTTGATAAAAATAATTTTTTCTTAATTTCATAAATATTTAATGAAAAAAATTAAAATAGTTTTTGAATATATTTTATTAAATTTAAATATGATAAAAAAAAGTTCAGAATTTTTTTATTACCAAAAAAAAAAAAAAAAAAGTTCAGAATTAAAGATGTCGATTATAAAAATTAATTAATTATGCATTGTGAATAAGTGACCGATACAAGCGAATTTATTCACGGGTTATTGATGTTCTGAAACTGAGACAACTCTTTATATTTGGGGTGGAATATCAATAAATTTTAAAATATAATTTTATGAATTATTTATTTATTTATTTTTTCTTCTTATGAACTCAAAAGTCCAATTAAAGTAAAAATAATATAAAATGGTAGTCATTTACACGTTGGGAGTAATTTTTAAGGGATAAAAATAGATTTCTTTAAATATAAAATTACACACTTAGACAAGACACACACTAGAGGTTTTAGATTTTTTCTCATTTTAAAACAATTCTCACATTACAATAATGTAACATTTCAATGTAACATACTAAAAAACTCTTTAGCGTATTGTTTTCAAACATAATAACGTAATACTCCAAAAAAAATGGTGTACTATTTCCAAACGTAACACTTCAATGTAACACGCAAAAAAACTTCTTAGTGTATTTTTCTAAACGTAACACTCCAATCAATGTAATTACAAATGTAAAACTTTAAATACGCAAAAATATTAAAAAACTCTTTAGTGTATTTTTCTCAAACGTAACACTCACAGTTTAAAATTATTTATTTGTCCAAAGCTTACTAAGGAATTTTGAACTCCTTTTAAAATGGTTTGAATAATCTTATATTCATTTTTTAGAGTGCTACATTAAAGCGTTACGTTTTTAAAAAAAAAAAATACACTAATACATTTTTTTCGTATGTTTTATTGGACTGTTACACTAAGAAGTTTTTTTAGAGTATTATGTTTGAGTGTTACATTAGAGTGTTACAGTTTGAAATTATACATTTGCATAAAACTTACAAAGGAGTTTTTGTATTTCTTTTGAAATGTTTGAAGAATCTCACATCCTTTTGGAATGTTTGAAGAATCCGATATTTCAGGTCATTTTTATACTTCTTTTGAAATGTGAAAGAAGTAATGTTCGAAGAATCTCACATTTCAATTCATTCTAAATAAAAAAAATTCTCCTATAAAAATTCATACAAAATTTGATTCTCATAAATTGTGCTTCTTACCTTTCTAACATAAAATAAAAAAAAAGGAAAAATAATATAAATAAAAGTATAACCGAAAATCTAATTTTCAAATAATATGTTAAATTTACCTTTTTAAAATTAACGGGACTAATTGGTTTATAAGAAAATCTTTGGGACTAAATGGATCACTATTTCTCAAGATGAGATTTATAGATAAATTTTTCAGTAAGGTTTTTGTTTATTTATTTTTATTTTTATTTTTTCGCACATGTGTGGCATAATTCCACTTTTTTATGTTTTATTTTATACCTCACTGGGTAAAATATAAAACTAATGAAAACAACTTGTAGAATAAGGTTAACTTGAGATAGGTCAACCCAACAATGATAGGTGACCCAAAAAATTGTAACTCGAATAATTATAGCAATCTCTCTTATTTTGTCTGATAATGTCAAGATTTCTCCTTCTGTCAAATTGTTTCAAACGGTATTAGCTTTTTCTTTAATAAATTACCTTATTGCCCTTCCTTTTAAAATATTAAAAAATATTTTTGGATTGGAGGACAGGTTTGGAAGAAGCAAACAATGTTTGGAACAGTATTTTTGGATTTCTTTTTTTAAAATATTAAAAAATGTTTAAAAAATTTTGTTTTTTATTTTAAAAATATAAATTTTATTTAAATATTTTATTTTATTTTGTAAATATTATAATTTTTTTAATTTTAATATTTTAAACTCAAAACACAATTTCACACTCAAATCGTAACCAAATACATAACTCAAAACTCAATTCAAAAATTATTTTCAAATCTCATAACCAAATACATAACTCAACACTCCACACTATTTTCCAAACTCAACATTTGAATCGTAACCAAACACATAACAAAAAAATTAAAATATTTAAAAATATATTTATAAAATAAAATAAAATATTTAAAATAAAAACTATATATTTAAATAAAAAATAAAACTTTTAAATTTTTAAAAAATATATTTAAAATATTAAAAAAAATACAACACATAGATGTATGGAATATAATGCACATTAAAATAAATAAATAAATATTTAAAATATAAAATATTTACCCTAAAAAAATAAATTCAAAAATTTCAATTTATAACCAAACAAATTTTTTTCTTTTCAAAAACTCAAAATTCAAAACTCAAAATACAACTCCACACTCAAATCATGACTCTAAATGTAATTTTAAAAAAATAAATAATTTTTTTTTTGAAATTTTTTTCCTTTTAAAATAGAATTTTTTGAAAAAGTTTGGTTTTGAATTTGAATTGAGTTTAAAGTTGTGTTTGGTTATGAGTTTTGAAAATAATTTTTGAATTGCGTTTTGAGTAAAAACATGTTCCGAAAAAAGATTTTTTTAGAAACATGTTTGATTCTCTTTTAGAATCACAATTCCAATTAGAAATTTTCAAAAATCTTTTCAAAACTCATAGAGTCTTAACCAAATACACAACTCAAAACTCAATTCAAAAATTATTTTCAAAACTCATAACCAAACACAAACTTAAAAAAATACAAACTTATGTTAAATATATTTTTTAAATATTAAAATTTTAAAAAATTTATTTTTTTATTTTAAATATATAATTTTTATTTTAAATATTTTATTTTATTTTATAAATATATT